CCGTGTCTCGGGGAGAGCGGCTGCAGCTCCTGCCCGGGCCAAAGGCCTCTCCAGGGGACGCAGGCTCAGCTCCTCTCCTTGCAGGTGCTTCCCTACAGATCTCTGCGGTGGGTTTTTTTCCTTCAGTTTAGCAGCTTAACAAGAAATTCAGAATTAAAAATAAATAAATCAATCCCGAAGCAACAGCTGCAAAACACAGCCTTCCACAAAAGGAAGGGGGGCTCCTTTCAGAAAAGAAAGGAAGAAAAAAAATCTTAAGTCTCAAACACCATTTTTTTTTATGTATTGAACACCATGCCTAAAAAAAAAGCGACCGAACATTAGAAAGTATCACAGAGTGGGGGAATTTAAAACCACATCCTTATCTTTCAGCACGTGGAATTGACAATGATGGCAACATAACACGGGTTATTCCCAAAAGAAGAGCTTCTTCAGATGTCTGGAAATAGAATCAATATAAATCCAGACGAAACCCCAAATCCCACTTTCTTCTTTTCAGCGAAACTTATCCATCCTTCCTCATCCTACCCTTTCTCCTTTCTATATCATAGAGCAAGTTCCATTTTCTGTAGGCTCTTCAACCTGAACATGCTTCTCAAGGGGTATAGTGAACCTTATGATTATAATGGATTTTAGGCCTCCTTCTACCAAAGTACTGACAGAAGTAAGTGTTATTTATGAGTTTCAATTCTCTACCCATGAAGGGAGGGACTAAAATCTGGCTTCCCCTTCTTGGAAAAATAGCAGTCTTCATAGATTGAAGAGAGGAGGCAGATGAAAAAGCCATCATGTCATCAATAGCTCTGCAAAAATACAGCTATCTTCATACACAAGACTCTACACGTTAGAAGAGCAGAAGTTTATGAGATGATTCACACTAGGAGGAGCCGCCCCCGCTCTGGTGATGGGGGCTGGGGATCTCCGGGCTCTGCAGGCTGCTGAAGCCAGAGCCTAGCCCGCCGGGCAGGAGGTTCCCGGGGCTGCCCAGCAAGTGGCTGTTCGGGGGGGACTCCATGGGGGGCAGCTTGGCTCTCGCCTGCAGACGAGGAGGAGACGGAGGCGGATTCACGCAGGAGGCGGCGGCGGCCACCCCCACATTGGGGTCGGCGGCCA